ACTTGGCTATACATCAATATTTGATGAATAACCTCGTAAATCTGATAATCAGATTTGCCATCTATGTTCCATTCATAAATGGTCTTGCCATGAAAAGATTTCTGTGTATGAAAATAATCTTCTTCATACAAGATATCTTGAGGTGTGGGTCTGGGATAATAATATCTACTCGGAGCAGGGGCTGTATTAGAGTGGATATTCTTATCATAGACAATTCGGTTTAACTCAGGCATCTGAGTAAAATCATTTTGGAATACCTCAATATGAGGTAACACATTCTCAGAATCAGAACCAATTTCAGATTCATCATGGGATAAAGTCTGAATTTTGAGTCCTTGAATTTTCTGAGTAAGAAGAGTAAGAAATTCTTCATTCTTCTTAGGATGTGTCAGATTGAAGCCTTGAACTTCAATTGTAGGTTTCACCAATGCTTTGGATAAGGAAGCTTTTGGAGGAGAAGTTTTAACAGTAATACACTTAGTATTAATTGTATTTAATACCGTGTCAATTCCCGTTTCAATTCTCCCAAGCTGGGACCCTATCGTTTATAAGCAAACATTAGTGTAATTGTTCTGCCTGTAAACATGAGAAATGTCCTTTTTAGTAGCATTACAGGATGGATCAATTATTCTGGGTTGGCTATAAGCCTTGGTTTCCACTTTAGAACCACTGTCAGGGTCAATTCTTTTCAGAATTAGATGTTCAGTGGGAGGATGGACAGAGTGAAAAACCTTATCTTCAGATGTGGTCCATGGTTTGAGAAAATCATCCAATATGTTTATATTAACAAGAGAATGATTGGTCATGTAGAACCAAGAAACAAAAGGTATAACCATTTTGTGTTCTTGTAGAAATTCATAAAATTGGGTTTTAAAAAGCTGTAATTGATTTTGGTCAAAAACTTTAAAATACCAATTTCTGAATTCTTTATATTGATCCTGTTGAAATTCAGTATTAATGGTAATTTTATCAGGGACAAAATCCATTAAAACTAATATTCATGAGGGTCATTGATGTCTGGAGGATCATCAAATTGATCCTTGACAGATTCATTTCCGATTCCCATTTCAGATGGAGTTGGGCTGAATTCAATTCTGATTTGGCGACGAGACATACCTATTGGTGCTTTCTCGTAGACTCCTCTGGGAATTTGATTCTGAGATTGCTGTATTCCTTTCAGCTTGAGTTTGGAACCAACCGCTTCAGGGATTTCTTCCTTTCGGTAATCCGACGAGATCGAATGTCGAGAAGGAGGACAAGAAACATGATAAGGAAGATGACTTCCTTTAGATGATGTAGATCTGGATAGATCGATGGATTTTCTGAAATTCAGAAAAACATCACCATCTTGGTCCTAAATAACACAGTCTAAGCTATGATTAGCAATTGGCTGTGCTGGAACGGCATTAGAAATCGTCCAGTGTTCAGGAAATGTTATCTCACTCCAAGGAATCATCCTTTTTGTGGCAACATTTGATGTGTACATGTTGGTATCCCATAACGCTGTTACTCCTTTAGAGTCTTTGCGTATGGCATTGGGACACATAGTATCAAGTACTTTGTAATGGATGCGATAAATAACACTTATCACTTCCGATCCAGGTAAGTAATCATACCCATAAGTCTGAACCCTAAGACTAACTGCCTCATGGATATTTTTATCTGTCAAAGATAAATTCAGACTAGGATAGACATTAAAATAAACCGGTCCATGACATAGACTGGTTTCCAGTGCACCCATCAAGGAAGGGTGAAATTTCAGACATCGAGCATCCTTAAGGGTTGCTTGAATACAAGCATCCATACCTAACAAGGTTAAAGGTTTAAAAGCAATTTGAATTAAACCTATATGGATGTACTTATATTTATGCATGTGCCTCTGAAGGTCACGAGAAGACAATAACTTAATTATTGTATCCTTAGTGCTTAATTGCATGGTCTGTTCCATGGTCTTGATAGTCCATAGATCAGTTAAATTAAGCATTCCGATTTTGTAAATGCTTTTTGCATTTACTGGAGGGATAGTCCGTCTGTTCAATTTATTTTGAACATTGGTCCATTCCACTACTTCCGTATTTTTTACCAGTTCTGAATCCTGGTTTTCCTGTATTCCTGAAGAGGAGGAAGAAGATGGTTGTAACATGTCTGTTAATTATTGTTAATGCTTTAAGGTCTGCATAGTATAAATATTATAATATTATATAGTGAACAGTAAGTTACTATTCTGTCGTCTTTCTGCTTAAGAGAGATTCTATTACTCGTCTGTCAACGATTTACTGGAAACAATACCCTGTGCAGCAATCTAATGCAAAAACGGGTTAAACATTCCAACGCGACTTTTGGACGACCCATAATTGAATCTGGGATAAACATAATTTAGACAGAATAATATTCATATTGTTCATTACATAATTACGATAATAATCATGCTACCAGAACCTAAAAAGCATTAACAATAAGAAATTAAGCCATCATGGCTCTGATACCGCAAGGTTAAGGAAATCTCCTTCCCCATGGACTTTGGAACACACCAAGGCAGTCCAGAAGATTAAACTCAGAGCCAAACAAATTCCTTGCTTAGCTCTAGCCAATTCTTCATGGTTCAAAATTGTGGAAACAGATGCCTCCAATATTGGATACGGTGGTATTCTTAAACAGAAAAATCCAAACACAGGAACAGAGGAGCTTGTTCGCTTCACTTCAGGAACTTGGAAAAATGCACAATTAAATTATTCAACCATCAAAAAGGAAATTCTTTCTTTGGTTAAATGCATTTATACATTCCAAGATGATTTAATCAATCAGAAATTCTTGTTACGCATTGATTGTAGTGCTGCTAAACAAGTACTGGAAAAAGATGTAAAGAATTTAAAGTCCAAATAGATATTTGCTGGTTGGCAAGCTGATTTATCTGCTTTTGATTTTTCTATTGAATATATTAAAGGCAGTTCTAATTCTTTACCTGATTTTCTAACTCGTGAATTTTTGCAGGGTTCATGAATCCGCCCCCCCATGGGCAGGGCCGGGGTAATACTCTAAAGGCTCGTGGCAAAAACAAGGCTAAGGCCAAAGTGGTTATACCACTCACTGATGATCAATTTCCATACTTGGAACATGTTGCTGATCTGCTCAACACACCTTCTAAAGGAAGCAGCAGTTCCCAGCAAAAACAACAGAAACCAACCATGAAAGAGGTTCTTGAACAAGAAACTCCATGGATACCTAATCAAAGGTATATTCAAACAGTACTGATACTGGATTCTCAAGATGAGCAATGGATGCCAGATCCTTGGGAAGTAAAATCCAGATATTTCCAAACTCAACAATATGCTGCACCGGATGGTCGCCATAGATATATCTATGAAGCCATTCTTACTGAAACTTCCTCTGTGGAGATCAACCACACGAAGTAATTTCCGAATTCCAAAGATAGTCCTCTTACTTATAGTAAAGCTATCTTTAAGAGGCTTATACGGCCTAGTGACTGGGGATTAAATCCCAATTTTTCAAGGAAAATATCCTATGGTCACAGTTATAATTATTGGGATTATATCTCAGCTTGGACATATTCGTTCTTTTATCAAAATCCGAAGCATAAGCATTCTTGGTTCTTCAAGATATGCCCTCAATCAGTTAAGGCTGATTTCCCCAGCTGGGTTATACCCTGGTAGGCTATATTTGGCCCTGATCTGGATATGTTGCCCGAATCTATCAGCCAATTATACTTACCATGGCAACAATTTCATCCTCAATTACGAGGGCAGGATAATATTCCTGTAGGGAAATCCACCCTATTGTTCTTTACTGAATTTGTAATCCCTTGGATTTGGAAATGGGATTTCCAATGTGGTTATACCACTGATAAGTTACCAGTCCTCCAGAGGATCTTTTATTACCGATGGTGGTCAGGCATGACTCAAGAACCTATCCAAGCCCTCCTCCATCAGATCAGAAAGAAAACACTGGAATACATGGATAAGATTCCAAAGTTAACTATTCCAGAACCCGAAATCTTTAACCCATTTGAACTTGTTAAAGATATGATCAGAAAACAACAACCATTAATTACCGAAGCTGATTTAATGGTTAAATGCATGGATTTTATGAGGACCAAATTTGTTAAATCCTTTGATTCCTCCACTCCTACAGTACGAGATGATGCATCCATGGTGTCAGTCTCTAGCCAGACCAGTCAAGACGGTAATCAGTTTTCCTGTCTAGCCGGTTATGCACAAGATCCCAATGAAGATCTTATTTCTGAAGATGAGCCTACAGTAGCAGACTATTGGGACTCTCTCACCAGTCACTTGATGGACAAGATGAATCCACCCAAAAAGTAAAGATTCCTCTTATCCTGCCGACAGAAGCAGCCAAAGAACTTTTTCCCAAAAGTCTTTGGTTCTACAGTATGTCCTTCATCTAATATCTACATTCCATCCGATAAGGAGACAGAACTTAGTGGTGGGCCGACCGACTGCAATATTTTAGCACACGATCCCATGCACTATGCGGATTTCAAAATGATAATTTCAAGTCCATTTTATGTATAAATAGAGGGCAAAGTTTCCCATCAATGTATCTTTCAATTTCCTTTTCTCTCTTTTGTAATATTTCTCTGTATTAGCTTGGAAGTTTAATAAAGAAAGTTTTCTGTAAGTCTGTTCAACTCTTGTTTAAATCTTGTTATTTAATCTTATATTATTAATCGTTTAGTATCATTATTATTGATCGATCCTACACACACCCTTGTGCTATATATATATATATATATATATATATATATATATATATATATCTGTTCAAGAAAGACGGCTATATACATTATAACAAGGAACTGGGTATATATATATCTGTTCAAGAAAGACGGCTATATATATAACTGATATTGCATTAAAAATTCTATATATTTATATATATCACACATGGACACACTGTACTAGTGTAAGCTGGAAGATGGCTTCTTCAGGCTTTGCAACTGTGGGTTATGAGAGGATGAAGGAAATGAAAAAGTTCGACCAGTCGAAAATGGGCGTCAAAGGTCTTTCTGATTCCGGCATCACCACCATCCCTAGCTTCTTCCTACACCCTCCCGAAACCCTCCCCAATCTCAAATCTTCTTCCACTTGCACCGCAATCCCTCTCGTCGATCTCTCAGGCATAAAATCCGAGCTTCATAGGCCAAAGATTGTCCAACAAATCCGAGAAGCCGCGAAAACCTGGGGATTCTTCCAGGTGATCAACCACGGCTTGCCAGTCTCCATGCTAGACGAGACCATCGCCGCCATCAAGGCGTTCCACGACCAGCCACCGGAGGTGAAGGCGAAGCACTACAAGCGAGAAGAGGGACGCGGTGTCATGTACACGAGCAATAATGATTTGTATCGGTCTAAGGCAGCTAGCTGGCATGATTCGCTGCAGGTGTGGACGGGGCCGGAGCCACCCAACGCGGAGGAGATACCGGTGGTGTGCCGGAGGGAGGTGGTGGAGTGGGACATCCATGCGAAGATGGTAAGTGAGACGGTGATGGAGTTACTGTGTGAAGGGTTAGGGTTGGAGGCTGCCAAGTTTAAAGAGTTGACTTTTTCTGATGCTAGGGTGTTTCTCGGCCACTGCTACCCTTACTGTCCTCAGCCTGATCTGACGCTGGGGATTACATCACACACTGATCCTTCGTTTATGACAGTCTTGTTGCAGAACCAGGTGCATGGTTTGCAAGTCAAGCATGGTGAGGAGTGGGTGGACGTCAAACCTCTTCCCGGAGGGTTGATAATTAACATTGGGGACTTTCTTCAGGTAAAATATATTTCAATTTTTTGCATTAGAAAATCAAAATACAGTTTCCCCTTTTCCTTCAACGAAATTGATTTACCGAAAAATAAAAAATAAAAAAAAATATAGAAATTTTAGAAATTTCTTATTAATATTAATTAGTAGAGAAGTTTCTATTGTTCCCTTTAGAAATTTATGTATATTAATCAATTAGAGCACCTTCTAATTATATATTTTTTTATTTGAAAATAATAATATTTAATATTTTCTATGGAATGTACACACCGGCTTTGCCGGAAAAGCGTGCGCAATCAATTAGCTTTATGTTCTATCATTGTTTGTGACCGAAATACTTAATAATTAAGTCTTCAAATTATTCTTTCATTTTTTATATTGTATGTATATTAATAAAATTATATTGCGTATAATATTTCATTCACACATACACATATATATTACCTGACATAATTAATTACATGCATACATACACTAAGTCACCCAATTCTTTTTAATGGGTGTCGCTTTCACGTTTCGGGTGCGCTTCTGCTTTCACACTTTGCACGCGTTCTGACTCAAATTCTCACTATTTATAACTTAATTTTGCTTCTCTCACTCTCCTGCTCTCGAATTTGCTCCCGTTCCCGCTTTATGTGACTTAGTATGTGTGAATCGTACGCAGCGATTCGTATTTCAGGAAAGTTTTAGATTTTATAAAACAGATATGTGCCGTTATTAACTTTACTTATTTTAGCAATTAAGCAATTAATCACATGCAAATAAAATAAAGCAAAGCAAAGTTAGAGATGACACCAGGATTTTAGCGAGAAAACCCCAGTTGATAAAATACGTCAACTGTTATGGGAAAAACCTCATGGACTTGTGTAGTCTAAAGTAAATCAATCCACTATGGAAACAAAGTATACTGAACTTTGACTCTGGCTCACACTCTATCGTTCTACCGAACACCAACCGCTGACGATCCTCTAGCTTTGCGACTCCCCGTCCAACAGTAACTTGACTTCATGTTTAGACTTGATATTTATAGAAGAGTAGCAGGTAGATCAGATAGCACTCCACGAATGCTCAAACCCTTCCAAAGTGTGACTGCGTTTATTTCTGTTCTTCAACCGTTTGAATGATGTAGAAGAAGATCTGTATAGTCTGATCGATGTTAATACGACTGTATGATCACGATTAGGATTCAAACTCCACAACTCTAACCTAACTAGGTAAATATGTGTATGTTCTAGGAAGACACCAGAAAAATCAACTTTGATTTTTTGAGAGGGATAAACTTGCTAAGGCTTTGTATGATATATGAATAATGATTAAAAACTGTAAATAAACCAATGTATATGACATGGTTTATATAGAGAATAGAATGACCTAATTTTTCTGAAAATAAGGAAAAATTCATACATAGGATTTGGTACAATTCTAGACTAACTGGTGAACAATTCAGGATAAGGAAACTGAAGTTGTATTGCAAACAAGACATCTTGAACTGGTTCAAGTTTGGCAGAGAATTTTCAAAGCCAAACTTGAGCATCTTGAACCGGTTCAGAGGGGCTGAACTAGTTCAAGGTTGGCAGATCTGAATTTTTTAGTTCCTTCAACCTAGATTCATTCTACGGTAAATTCCGACCAAAATGGTAAGTGTAGAATGTGTCCAACCTTGTTTAGAATCCTTCCTAAAGTGGTGTTCTTACCTTATTCTTCAAAAATCTTCAAGTATGGTAAGTTTGAACATCTTCCTAGTTCTGTAGTCCCTGTCGAACTTGATAACTTGTAGAACAAGTAATTTGAATTACAACTCAACTTGGACTTGTTATGTCTACGATAATTGCCAAAAATAAATTAATTTCTCACAATCTCCCCCTCGTGACAAAACCCTAAAAATAATTTTTGCAATCTACCCCAAAGCAGAAAAGTAAATTACATTCATTGTGAAAAGGCAAAAATTGGACATATGATCACCATTCTTCTTAGATACTAAACTTGACCCGATTCTTGCACACTATCAAGCAACACTACTAGTGAAGTTTAATATATAAAAATTTATAAAAACTTCCCCTTAAGTATATATATATGATTTTGATTATCTGTTCTCTCCCTCTTAAAATCATACTTTGGTATCTCCCCTTTTTTTGTAACAAATTGACAAAGAACAGTAGAGCATATTCTAAATAAGCATATACCAAAGTCATTTAAAGCATATTCCATGAATATCCAAAAAGACAGACAAGATGTGCAATAATTAAACAAAACATGATGTCATGATGCATAAGAAAATAACATTAAAAGCAGCATCATGTCCCCTCAACCACTCAGAGATAATAAACTTCATCCTTAGTCTTCACCACTCTCCTCCTCATCCTCATCTGTATACTCATCCCCTTATTCATCTTCTTCCTCATCTTCAGCTCTCAGAGATGGATCTGGAGGTGTAGGTCTGTATACATCTTCATCTGGAACTCTTGATGGTTGTCCTCTCAGCTGAGTTATCTGTTGTTTGAGATCCTGGATCTCAACCACCATCCTATCAAACAACGAATTCTGATGCTAAAGTAGATGAGAATACACGACGTTGGCATCTGCTCTTGTGAAATTTCCTTTTGGAGGAAATAGCTGAGTAATCTCTGAAACCTGTGATGACCTTTTATCAACAGATCTCCTTGCTTTTCTAGCATTCTCCCGAGCAGTCTTTGACTTGTTCAAAGTACGAGGATCCAATTCAGTCATGATAGGTTTATGATAAGCCCTTGGAGGAATCTGCACATTCTTCTGTTTAAGAATTTCCATGATGATCATTGGAAACGGAGAAGAATACTTGTGAGATTTTTTCTTGTAATGAGCTATCATAAGTTACACAATAGATTCTGCAAGCAGTATAGTCTCATTATTAGCAAGAAAATAAAGCACTTGTGCTCGCTCAAGAGGTAGTTCATCCTTTTTTTCGAAGTAGCCCAGATTAGCCATAGCAAATAAGTTGAAGAAGGCCGCTTCATCTGTCAGAAAGCAAGTTGGAATACTATCTTGGTTCAGTGAAGAGTTTGACACACATATCTTTGGAACAATCCGGGTAAAATCAGGACCCGTGACTGTCAAAGGCAGAGTATGTCTACTAAAATGACGATTGTCCTAAAGACCAAGAATAGTCTCAATATCCTTCTTTTCAACAGTATAATCAACTCCAAACAGAGAGACAATGAAGTAAGTGTCATGAACTTCACGGATAGTAGCATAGAAATAACTAATCATATCCGAACAATAATAATAGCCTTTGTCAAGCTTAGTGAAGTAAAGCCAATTATTCGATTTGATGTAGTTCACTAGTTTGCACCCTACTGTGTCTTGGAGTTTTTGATGATTAACATTCCTTTCTGTCTTTATTGGCCCATCCTTGTAAACAGAGAGATACACCTTCCAAGCTTCCTCATTGTAAAATTGGGACTCATCAAATTCAATCATACTAGTGCTAGAAATTGATGGATATCTCATTGTAGCCATGCTTGTGAACCACTTTGAGGTTCTTGGATGGAGATGCTGGTACGGGACCTTTTTGGTGGTCTTGGATTCATAATTCCTTTTCCCTTTGCTTCCTTAGTCAATTTAGGAGCCATGTTATTTAGAAAATTTCTCACTTTGAAGCTTGTAACTCTTTCAGGAATTTTATCAAACACTTGGTGTGCAACTCCAAAAGTGTTGATAGAATGGCTTAATTTCTTCTTCAATATTTCCAAAAATTAATCAACAATTGCAAGATTCTATCCTCTAAACACAATAAAGCTTCAATCTCTTCAATCAATGCAAAAACTTAATCAATCCTCCAAGATTTTAAGCCCAAACTCCATAACTTCCATTCAAACCCATTTTACAAATTTTTAATGTTCACACTCTTTAATTCTTGTCTTCAATCTTATGTATATCATGTAATGATCATATATATCATAAATGAATGACAAAAATATATGATATGATGCATATGGATATAAATTTTGAGTTGGGGTAATGACATGGAGTGAAGGAGAGCAAGAAAGATGGAGTGTTGTATGCAAAAATGAGGCCTGAAGCATGATTTAAACCAAAATACCCAAGCTCTTGAACCGATTCAGCCTTCTTAAACCGGTTCAAGAAGGACAGCGCACAATTGTGTATTAAGCTTGAACCGGTTCAGCTATCTTGAACCGGTTCAAGATGGACAGTCATTTGAGACTCGGCCATGGTTGTTAAAAGCGCGCCTGGGCACAGGCGCCTATAGGTGCAGCAACTACGCCTCACAATAGCCCAGGCGCAGCGACCTCCACTAGGCGCGAGCCTGGGCTGCGCCTTGAAGGTTGTATTAGGCACGCCTCATGTATTATGCAGCATATATTTTGTGTTTGACTGGTTATAGTTTATATTATTATATTTAGTATATATATACAGCTTTGGAAGTTCAAAGCTTTGAAAACTTAAAAGTAAAAAATTGGAATTTTGTCATCTTGTGAGGCAACATATCCAATCAATAAAAATCTGCAGAAGAAATGTGATGATGGAGTGGGAAAGTCAACAAGTCAAAAGTGGGAAAGAGAAGAGAGAGAAAGAAAGAAAAAAAGAAAAGAAAAGAGAAGAGAAACATCTAGAATCTGAATCTGTTGCTCCGACGAAGCCACAACCCAGGTCAGTAATTTCATTTAAGTTTTTTTTTTTCCTCCTCCTCTTCTCTTCTCTTCTTTACTCCTCTCCTCTTCTCTCTCTCATCTGTTTTTTTTTTTTTTTCTCTGGCTCTCCTATTTTTCTTCTTTCTCGATTTTTTTTTTTTTTCTTCTTTCTGGGTCCCTGTTTTTCTTTCTTTTTCTTCAGGCTCTGTTTAGGGGCTCTATTCCCCCCCCCCCCCACTATCTTCTAGTTTCAGATTACTCCTTTCTCTGTCTTCTCTCCGGCCAAACTGGCCTTCAATTTTTATTTTTTATTTATATATATATATTTTTTCCTTCATCTACAGTCTACTCCAGTACTCTAATTTTTTTTTTTTTTTTCCCTCCTCCTCATCTTCTCTTCTATTCTCTTCTCCTTTCCTCTCCTCTTCTCTTTCTCATCCGGTTTATTTTTTTTTTATTTTTTTCTGGGTCTCTGTTTTTCTTCGTGTCTGTAATTTTTTTTTTTCCCTCCTTTCTGAGTCTTCTCTCTAGCCTAAAATGTTGATGTAATATGATGGACTAAATATAAGCCCTTCAATTTTTTATTTTTTTTTCCCTTCATCTACAGTTTACTCCTGTAGTCTTTTTTTTTTTTTTTTTTTTCCCTCCTCCTCTTTTTTTCTCTTCTCCTCTCCTCCTCTCTCTCTCATCTGGCTTATTTTATTTATTTTTTTCTGGGTCTCTATTTTTCTTCGTGTCTGTAATTTATTTATTTATTTTTCCTCCTTTCTGAGTCTTCTTTCTAGCCTAAAATGCTGATGTGCTATGATGGACTAAATATATGCCCTTCGTCTAGCCACTGATCATGCCAATGGTAAAAGAAAATTGGACTAAAATTGGACTCCTTAGCACACAATTAATTCTATATAATTATGTATATAAGTTATATAACATTACCTTGTATATATATATCTATCATCAGTTTCTGCTCCTCTGTTTTTTCTTTCTTTCTTTATTTTCTTCATCTACTTGTCTCTTTATTATTATTTTAATCTCTGCCTCTCATTTTTTTCGGATCTCTATCTCTCATTTTTTTCTCCCTTCTTGGCTTCTTTTGAATGCAATTTACTGCATGTTATTTGCTGGAATTTGCTAGATTATTTAAATTTTGAATGTTTGTGCTTGAATACTGTTTGTTGCATTGCCTGAATGCTTGTTTGCTGAATGCTTGTTTGCTGAATTTAACTTGGTCCCATTGACTCCATTCTATTTCTCATTGTAAATAGATAGGAAAAAATGTCAAAGGATCCAGGTTGGAATTATTGTCACCTGCAAAACCCGCAAGATAGGAATGCAACAACGTGTAATTTTTGTGAAAAAGTTATGAAAGGAGGTGTTTATAGGGCTAAGCAACACATTGTAAGGGGATATAGAAATGGATAAGCATGTAAAAAGTGCCCTGAACATGTGAAAGAAGATATTAGAGAATACATGAGCAAGAAGAAAGAAGAAAAGGAACACACAAATTTGTTGTCTGATTTTGATGACATGGATTATCAAGATGAGGATGATGTAACAATTATTGATGTTAAGGGTAAAAGAGTGGCAAGTGGAACTGGAAGCAGTAATATTTGATCAAAAAAGTAAAAGCAGAAAGGTCCTATTGATTTGTACTTCACCCCTCCTCCGTAAGTAGTTGTGCAAAATAGAAAAAATGACAAGGGTAAGTAAATAATAATTGATAATGCTTGCAAGAAAGAACTTAGAAACCAAGCATGTCAACGGTTTGCAAGATGGATGTATAATACTGGGACATCATTCAATGCCCTTAATTATGATAGTTTTGCACCAGTTGTTGAAGCTATTGGCTAACATGGTCCAGGAATGAAACCTCCTTCTTATCATGAGGTGAGACTTCCCCTCCTCAAGAAAGAACTGGAGTATACAGACAATTTAATGCGGGATCATAGAGAGGAATGGGCAAAATGCGGATGCACAATTATAGCAGATGGATGGGAGGATAAAAGACACTGGTGTTTGATTAATTTTCTGGTGAATTGTCTTAAAGGGACAATGTTCATTCAATCTGTTGATGCTTCCTCTTATTCAAAGACCGGTGAAAAAATGTTTGACTTGCTTAACAAGTTCGTGCAGCAAATTGGAGTATCAAATGTGATTCAAGTAGTCACTGATAGTGCCTCTTCTAATGTTGTGGCAGGTATAAATTTAAATATGTACTTGATGTGGAAATTTTAGGTTTATTGCTTCTAGCCTTCTATTAATTCATATTTTCTTTCTTTACAATAGGGAGAATGTTGGAGGGAATGTACCGACATTTGTATTGGTCACCTTATGCTGCACATTGTGTGGACCTGATGTTGGAGGACATTGCTAAGATCGCAAATATAATGAGGACCATAAAGAGAGCTATAATGTTAAATGGTTATATTTATAACCGTTCGGGTTTGTTGAACATGATGAGGCATTATACTGGACATAAAGAGTTGCTTAGACCTGCAATGACTCGATTTGCCACTTCATTTATCACGTTATCAAGCATCCATCATCAAAAGGATTGCTTGAAGAAGATGTTCACTTCACAAGAATGGATCTCCAGTAAATGGGCGAAAGAGATAGAAGGGAAAAATGTAGCACAGATTGTGTTGATGCCTACATTTTGGACAAGCATTGTGTACTCTCTCAAAGTAGCAAGCCCTCTTGTTCGTGTACTTAAGTTGGTTGATGGTGAGAGAAGGCCTCCAATGGGATATATTTATGAGGTTATGGAAAGGGCTAAAGAAGCGATAGCTAAAGCTTTTGGTGGTAATGAGGAGAAGTATAAGGACATCTTTAAGATCATTGATACTAGGTGGAATATCCAACTCCATCGCCCTTTGCATGCAGCTGGGCATTTCTTGAACCCAGAATATTTTTACAGCAATCCAAATATTGAGCAAGTTGAAGAGGTGATGGGTGGTTTATATCAATGCATAGAAAGATTGGTTCCAACCACTGAAGAGCAAGATAAAATTTCTTTGGAGTTGAGTAGATATATGAAAGCTAATGGTCTATTTGGCTCATCAATTGCTGTTAGACAAAGAAAGTCAAGGGCACCAGGTAAACAAGTCAATTAATCATTTTTTAGTATATTTGAATTTTAATTTTGTTAATTTTTTACTAATAATATGTAAATAATAGCCGATTGGTGGTCCGCATATGGTTCTACAACTCCTAATTTGCAAAAGTTTGCTATTAAAGTGCTTAGCCTCACATGTAGCGCATCTGGGTGTGAACGAAATTGGAGTGTATTTGAACATGTAAGTTTGTAGTACTAGTAATTCAATGATAAAAAATTAGATTATAAACAGTTATACATTTATACTTATTAATTATTTGAATTAATGCAACTTCATAGCAAGAAGAGGAACCGGCTAACTCAATGTCGATTGAATGATTTGTTTTTCATCAAGTATAATAGAGTACTAAAACGACAATATGACATGTGTGATAGGATCGATCCCATCTTTTTAAAAGATATAGATGATAGCAATGAGTGGTTGGTTGGAGTAATGGATGAAGATGTAGATGCCGAAAATGAGTTGGTGTTTGAAGATGGCTCTTTGACATGGGGTGCAGTTGTTAAAGCTACCGGGGCTGGAGAGTCCAGCCATAATTTAAGATCAAGATCAGCTCCAAGGGCAACAAAGAGGACAACACCTTCATGCTCGTCTTTACTACGAATCATACATGATGACGAGGCAAACTCTGAAGAGACAGAAGAGGAAGAAGATGCTGAGCGTTACAAATCTTTTGATGGGGACGATGATGAGACTATGTTGTTTGGTGAAGAGGATGATATTTAGGTCCCTTAAGATTGTTTGGTAACTTTGGTTTTAGGAGTCCTTGTCAAAACTCAAAACTGAAACTAATATTTTGTTGCTTGGTTTATAGATTTGGTAGGCTACTAAGTATTGACTATGATACTTTATAGATTTGGTAGGCTACTAAGTATCTTTTGATGGATCTGTTTTGGAGTCAAATGATAGCTTTTGCTTAAGACATCAAGTATAAATTTATAATATATGGTTAATTGGTTTATGTTTTGCTGCTTTTGAATATTTCTTATGAATAAATAGCTTTCTTAGTTTAATTATTCTATTTTACTGGTTGCTTTATTGGTTTAATTGTGATATATTTAGATTAATTTAGTGTTTTTATTATTGGATGTTCATTGTTTAATTGTGTTAGTTTTGCTAAGAATTATTGTTTTAAAATTTTACTTGTGTGTCTCACATAACTCAAGCTCATGCCTCGCCGTGCGACTCGCGCCTAGGTTCCAAGGGACCTCTAGCGCCTCGGTGCGCCTTGGGCTTTTAATAACTATGGACTCGGCTAAATGACATGCTTGAACCGGTTCACCCCTATTGAACCGGTTCAAGACCTCCAGTTTTAAAACTATAGTGTATTTTTGAAAAAAAAAAATAATTAACTTTTCCAATGAATTTCCAGAATATTTTAACACATCGGTGATAAAAAAAAAAAAAAAAAAAACAACAACAACAACAGAAAATAAACTAAAAATCTAAAAATCAAAATCTTTTTGAATTTTCCAAATTTTTCAATTTTTTATTTTTTATTTTTTATTTTTTATAAACTTTACTCTAAATCACGAATCATCAAAATCATCCAGTTAACACATAATTCAAAACCCTTTCAGAGAATTTTTTAAAAATATCTCAGAGATCAAATATTTGACTCCACAGACTTTTCAAATAATTCCAAATCTCAGAAAGTACTCAAAACATGAAATCAAACTTGCAAATTTTACTGAAAAATTTAGAAATTAATTTAGCAAGTTCATATGTGTGTGAAATCCAATCTAATCCATCTTTAGTTGAATTTCAACAGCTGATTGTCTAAACCTTATTGATCGAAAAACATCAAGATAAAATTGTTTTGAGCAGTTTTTCTAAGCAAGACAGCTTTCACTCTAAAGAGTAGTCAGCAATTCCCCAACTCAACTTATTTCCACTTTTCACTTCAATTTCACAGTTTAATGGGAGTTTTCGATCAAATCTCAATAGGTAGCCTTTTCCTTAGCAAAGTATTCAGTAAAATATTTTTCTTTTCAGGCTGAATATTTTTCAATTTTTTTTAAGCTCCTATTTTATTTTTAGATAATAAATCCTAGTCAATAGATCAAAAGATTTTCAACCAAATTTGTCACAGATGGACTAGTGCACAAAAGTCCATGAACTTAAAAGATTCAAATCTAAAAACCCCCTAATCAATGCAAATCATCTTTCATTGTATAGATTACAGACCAAGAATCTATTCTTATTCAAATTATCATGTGTCTCAATTTGCATTCAAAGATATATCATAAATTTCTTAAAAGAATTTTCACATGTATATCAAGAAAATTATGATCAGAAACTCAAACCCTAACAAGTGATCCAATGGCAACAAAATTTTCCTTTAAACACAGGCCATGATCACTGAATTTTGTAGGAATTAGTTTGATTGTGAAGTCCTTTTGGAAACTTGTTCCAAGGACTCAACAGGTACATAATTGATCAAATCAGACTTTTTGATCCATACAGTTCTCACTCTCATTTCTTGAAACTCTCTCTCATTCTTTACCTCTTTCTTAGGCAAAATTTCAGTTCTAGAAACCTTAGGTGACACTTTCTTTTTCCCTTTAGAATGCACCCTGTTCTTAACATGAGAATTTTGAGAATCAATTTTAGAAAAGTCTTTCTTTTTTCTGTGAAGGCATGAGTTATACTTATGTTCATTCTTTCCACAAAAATTACAATGCAACAATTTAGGCACATAAGTCATATCAGAATGTGATACATCAGGCAAACATGGTTTAGGCATATTAACAAGTTTAACAAAATTTGTTTTACTTTAATTACTAGAAGAACCTTTAACAAATCCTAACCCTGTTTTATCTTTTACATCCTTACCCATGTTAATTATTTTATTCAAATTGTTTTGACTCATATTGAATCCTCTCAATTTATCTTGTTCAGATTTCAATTCAATTTCAAGATAGTCATTTTTCAAAGCGAGACATTCCTTCAAAGAGTTAACAACATTTACCTTATCTTCAAGAATGATGATCTGCTTCTCAAGCTCAGTGATGACAGACTTGCTTTCAACAGCCTTCCTTTTGCCTTCATCAATCTGTTTCTTTAGATCTTCATTCTCTCATTTTGCTTGGATAAGCTCATTTACTAGCTTATTGGCAGCCTGTTTGGTCTCTATAGTTTCTTTGACCATCTTCTTTAGTCTTTCATCGTCCTTTTCAGCCTCTTCAACTTTTTCATCATGAACTTCACTGTCTTCGTTATTTGAACTGTTAGAGTCAGATAAATTAACAACATGAGAACCCCTATCAAGAAAAGCGACATAAGAAAAATCATTAGTATCATCCCGGGGAGAATCACTATTGCTCAAAGTAGACTTTTCAACCATAGAAACTTTCATTGCTTTTCCTTTATTCCTATCCTTTTGTTCTTTCCTAGGACTAGGACAAACATTAGATGTGTGACCTTTGCTACCACAATTCCAGCAAGTAAATTCAGTTTCTTTTGATTCTTCTACTTTCTTCTCATTAAACCTAAACTTTGATGTTTTGTCAAAATTTTGAGGATTAGCCATGTTGCTATTCCTTTTCCTCTGTTGCCTTTCCAAAATCTGGCTGAATTGCCTAGACAAGAATGCAATATCATCTTCAGAATCATCATTCACAGAATGTTCAACCTGTTTAGATTTTAAAGCAAAATTTTTCTCCTTCTGATTTAAATCAAAATTCTGCATCTCAAAATTTTTTAATGAACCTAACATCTCATCAACTCGACAAGTAGTCAAATCCCAATGTTCAAAGATGGTTTCAACCCTAATCTGGAATCTTTTAGGTAAAGACCTTATGATTTTTTTACAGATTTTTTTATCACTAACTTTTTTTCCTAAGTGACGCAATTCAGAGATTATTTCAAGAAGACTAAAATAAAAATTAGAAAATGATTCATCTTCTTTCATCACAATGTTGCCAAATTTATGAGAAAGCAAATGTATTTTGGACAACTTCACTTCAAAGTTCCTTTATGAGCAACCCGTGTTGATAATCGTGCTACGCTAGCTGTCCAAGTGGCGCCACCTTTGAAAATAGGCACACCTGGCCAATACTTATTTGGCATGCCTCTGCCCCTGAAGGGACTAAGCGTTTGTCTGGCTATCATCAGTGCCGAGCGCTCGTCCGAAGCATTGAGCGCTCGCCCGGCAATCATCAGTGCCGAGCACTCGTCCGAAGCTCTCTACTCTTCCTCCCTTTCTTTTCGAGGTTGCTTCCTGCAAGCGTAACCTCGGGCATTTTTCTCTTCTCGAGCTCCCTTTTAACTGCAGGGACCTCGAGGCGCAGATCCAGGATAGAGCTCGTAGGGCCGAGAAGGCGGAACCCCGGGGGAGGCTCTTTCCTTATCTTCGATTGCGGGAATCTGAGTATCAGTGGTTAGGTGGCTGAGTTCTAAGGAATTGCCTTACTTCGAGGTCTACACAAGGGGGAGAGAATATTTAATACCCAATATCTGAGCTCGAGTAATAGAGACCACATAATATGTATTAAATGTATATCTCACAGAATGACCATTGGATAAAGAAAGAGCTACCATTGTAACCAGGGGTCCTTATCGAGCCAGAGTGACCACTGGATAAAGAGAGAGTTAGCTCTCATAACCAAGGGTCTTTATCCAAATGAAAGTAATATAAATAGGGCTTAACTCTCACCATTTAGGGGGGTGGAAAAATACAAAGGCACAACCATAACCATAAAGAATGGTCTTCTAGAACTCGAGCTACCATAGGGTGTTAAACAAATCTGCCTTCTATCTCTTAATCTCTTTTATGGAGAATCCCTTGTGCTAGCTTGGAGCTCCACGCAGCCTCTGATCTCAGCACCCCTGACAGACGTGGAATGATCTCCTCATATCATCACGAACTATCATCAACATTTGGCGACTTCACTGGGGAGGAGCATTCCATCAATGTCGAGCTTGCAAGAGATTGGCCCTCTATGGATATGGAAGAAGTTTTCTATGACCGGTGATTTTACTCCTAACTCATTTTCTTGTTGCTTGCTCTAGTTTCAAATTGACACACTCAGTCTTAAAATTTTTACTCCATTTATACTGATATACCATGTTATGTCATTTACATTCAACAATATGATATGCATGTCATGACTGTTGTACTATTCTGTATCTCTGAAAATCATTTGCTTTTTTATTTTATTGTTTGTTCACGCCGATTCATCAACTATTTCAGGCAAATTATCTGATTAAATATAATAATAATAATAATAATAATAATAATAATAATATATAAAATTCTTTTACTTCATCTCTGGGTAGATTGGTTCCTTGAGCTCTTGAGCGTTTCGTCATATATATTTACTTCACTCGGTGTAGGAGCTGTCTGTACCTTTGGTTTTTTTTTTTTTTCATATCTGATACATTAATAATTAACCCATCACTCCTATCTTTTGGTGAATGCCTCCCTCGCGAGATGATTCTTGCCTGACAGTATCTCAAATGAAATATTGTACCTTTTCTGTCATTATTATATTAGTGATTAAAATAAAAGCTAACATAGTTCCACCATTAGGTGATTAGAACAAGTTAATACCTCATGTGTTATTCAGGACCAGGATGGTGATGTTTTTCTAAATTTCAGTTTTGCATAACTCCAAGTAGTCAGCTTTCATGTGGCTGGGACTAGCTTTAGAAGGAATCATGAGATCGGTAAATCCCTTTTCATAGGGTAAAGAAAAGCCCAAGGCTGAGGCTAAATGTTTCAAATGTGGACGCATAGGCCACTATGCAAACAAGTGCAGGACTAAGGAGAAACTTAGTAGTCTTCACATAGAAGATGAACTAAGACTTCAATTAAGTAAATTGTTACTTAATACTAGTTCTTCTGAATCAGAATCATCGGCTGATTATAAGGATGTTGTTATGGAATTACAGTCTTCTTCTTCCTCTGAAGCAGAAGTTGAAAATCCAAAATGCTCCTGTAATCCCTCTCATGATGATTACTATAAGGCAATTGTTGAAATGAATGGGTTAAGCTTAAATGTTTTGACTTCGACTCAACAATCCTTATTGGATCTTATAGATCACATTCAAGATCCTCAACTCAAGATGAAAGTCTTTGAAATCGGTTCTGCTTTAGCAAGAACTACTGAGGATACTGATAATCCAGATTTTCTGCGAGCAGAAAATCATTACAGCATGAAAGAAGTTCTAAGTAGATTAGAACACCACGGACAGAATTCACGTCCTGCTAATCTCCCTGATCTCAGAATGGAGGTTAATCTTTTAAAAGAAGAAATTCGTCAGTTAAAGTCTCGTCAGACTAAGATAGACTGGAAATTACTCTTTTAAAAACAACATCTGTAACTGAAACTTCATCATCCCAGATTGAAGTTCCCTAATCCGAAAGCACGAATTATCTTCAACTCTTGAATCAAGTTACTTACCAAAAATGGTATATCTCTATCAATTTGGTAATTAATCAAGAGTACACTATCACGAATGCTATTGCCTTAGTTGATAGTGGTGCAGATATGAACTGTATACAGGAAGGATTGGTTCCTACTCAATATTTTGAGAAAACCACTCAAGATCTTACCAGTGCAAGTGGAGGAAAGATGCAGATTAAGTATAAACTTAATCATGTTTTCATTTGTAAAGAAGGTATTTGTTTACCATCTACTTTCTTACTTATCAGAAATATGGCACAACAAGTTATTTTGGGTACCCCCTTTTTAGCTTTAATCATGCCAATTGAGAAAATTGATTCTCATGGAATATGCTCTAATTTACATGGCCAGTCAATCACTTTTCAGTTTTTGACCCCACTAGTAAACAAGCATATCAATACTCTTAAAGATAATATTATCTTTAAGGAAAAGTAACTGAATTATTTGCAAAAGGAGGTATCCTCCTTAGCAATTCGTCAAAGATTGGTCCAACCCACTAAGCAACAGAAAATTGAGTTCATACGACAAAATTTTCTAAAGGAAATCTGTAGTGAGATTCCTAATGCTTTTTGGGCCAGAAAGAAGCATATTGTTTCTTTACCCTATGAAAAGGGATTTACCGATCTCATGATTCCTTCTAAAGCTAGTCCCAGCCATATGAAAGCTGACTACTTGGAGTTATGCAAAACTGAAATTCAGAAAAACATCACCATCCTGGTCCTGAATAACACAGTCCAAGCTACGATAAGCAATTAGCTTTGCCGGAACTGCATTAGAAATTGTCCAATGTTCAGGAAATGTTATTTCACTCCAAGGAATCATCCTTTTTGTGGCAACATTTGATGTGAACATATTGGTGTCCCATAACGCTGTTACTCCTTGAAAGTCTTTGCGTATGGCATTTGGACACATAGTATCAAGTACTTTGTAATGGATGCGATAAATAACACTTATCACTTCCGATCCAGGTAAATAATCATACCCATAGGTCTGAACACGAAGACTAACTGCCTCATGGATATTCTTATCTGTCAAAGATAAATTCAGACTAGGATAGACATTAAAATAAACCGGTCCATGACATAGACTGGTTTCCAGTGCACCCATCAAAGAGGGATGAAATTTCAGACATCGAGCATCCCTAAGGGTTGCTTGAATACAAGTATCCATACCTAACAAGGTTAAAGATTTAAAAGCAATTTGAATTAAACCTATATGGATGTACTTATATTTGTGCATGTGCCTCTGAAGGTCACGAGAAGACAACAATCTAATTATGGTGTCTTCAGTGCTTAACTGCATAGTTTGTTCCATGGTCTTGATAGTCCATAGATCAGTCATATTAAGCATTCCGATTTTGTAAATGCTCTTAGCACTTACTGGAGGGATAGTCCATCTGTTCAATTTATTTTGAACATTGGTCCATTCCACTAATTCAGTATTTTTTACCAATTCTGACTCCTGGTTTTCCTGTACTCCTGAAGAGGAGGAAGAAGATGGTTTTAACATGTCTGTTAATTATTGTTAATGCTTTAAGGTCTGCATAGTATAAATATTATAATATTATATAATGAACAGTAAGTTACTATTCTGTCGTCGTTCTGCTTAAGAGAGATTCTATTACTCGTCTGTCAACGATTTACTGGAAACAATACCCTATGCAGCAATTTAATGCAAAAAGCGGGCTAAACATTCCAACGCGACTTGTGGACGACCCATAATTGAATCTGGGATAAACATAAGTTAGACAGAAAAGTAGGCTTATTGTTTATTACATAATTACGATAATAATCATGCTACCAGTACCTAATAAGCATTAACAATAAAAAGTTAAGCCCTCATGGCTCTGATACCAAAAAGGGTTTGGATCGGGTTTTAGAGAGATCTAACAATTATCACAGGAATATAATAATAATTTTACAAAATAAGAAACTGAAACTTAAAGACTTACAGAAAACTTTCTTCTTTATTGAACTTCCAAACTAGTACAGAGAGAAATGTTACAAGAGGAAGAAAGGAAAATTAAAAGATACATTAAAGGGAAACTTTGCCCTCTATTTATATATGAAATGGACTTGAAATTAACATTTTGAAGTTCGCATAGTGCATAGGATCGTGTGTTTGAATAATGCAGTCGGTCGGCCCACCACTAAGTGCTGTCTCCTTATCTGATGGAAAGTAGACATCTGATTAAGGAATTACTGTAGAATCAAAGACTTTTGGGAAAAGTTCTTTGTCTTCTTCTGTCGGCAGGATAAGAGGAATCTTTACTTTTTGGGTGGATTCATCTTGTCCATCAAGTGGCTGGTGAGGGAGTCCCAATAGTCGGCTACTGTAGGCTCATCTTCAGAAATAAGATCTTCATTGGGATCTTGTGCATAACTAGCTAGACAGGAAAACTGATTACCTTCTTGATTGGTCTGGCTAGAGACTGACACCATGGATGCATCATCTCGTACTGTAGGTGTGGAGGAATCAAAGGATTTAACAAATTTGGTCATCATAAAATCCATGCATTTAACCATTAAATCTGCTTCGGTAATTAATGGTTGTTGCTTTCTGATCATATCTTTAACAAGTTCAAATGGGTTAAAGATTTCGGGTTCTGGAATAGTTAACTTTGGAACCTTATCCATGTATTCCAGTGTTTTCTTTCTGATATGATGGAGGAGGGCTTGGATAGGGTCTTGAGTCATGCCGGACCATCATCGGTAATAAAAGATCCTCTGAAGGACTGGTAACTTGTCAGTGGTATAACCACATTGGAAATCCCATTTCCAAATCCAAGGGATTCCAAATTCAGTAAAGAACAATAGGGTGGATTTCCCTACAGGAATATTATCATGTCCCCGTAATTGAGGATGAAATTGTTGCCATGGCAAGTATAATTACCGAATTGATTCTGGCAAAATATCCAGATCAGGGCCAAATATAGCCCACCAGGGTATAACCCAGTTTGGGAAATCAGCCTTAACTGATTGGGGCATATCTTGAAGAACCAAGAATGCTTATGTTTCGAATTTTGATAAAAGAACGAATATGTCCAAGCTGAGATATAATCCCAATAATTGTAACTGTGACCATATGATATTTTCCTTGGCAAATTAGGATTTAATCCCCAGTCACTAGGCCGTATAAGCCTCTTAAAGATAGCTTTACTATAAGTAAGAGGACTATCTTTGGAATTCGGAAATTTCTTCGTGTGGTTGATCTCCACAGAGGAAGTTTCAGTAAGAATGGCTTCATAGATATATCTATGGCGACCATCCGGTGCAGCATATTGTTGAGTTTGGAAATATCTGGATTTCACTTCCCAAGGATCTGGCATCCATTGCTCATCTTGAGAATCCAGTACCAATACTGTCTGAATATACCTTTGATTAGGTATCCATGGAGTTTCTTGTTCAAGAACCTCTTTCATGGTTGGTTTCTGTTGTTTCTGTTGTGTACTGCTGTTTCCTTTAGAAGGTGTGTTGAGCAGATCAGCAACATGATCCAAATATAGAAATTGATCATCATTTAGTGGTATAGTCACTTTGGCCTTAGCCTTGTTTTTGCCACGAGCCTTTAGAATATTACCCCGGCCCTGCCCATGGGTGGGCTGATTCATGAACCCTGCAAAAATTCACGAGTTAGAAAATCGGGTAAAGAATTAGAACTGCCTTTAATATATTCAATAGAAAAATCAAAAGCAGATAAATCAGCTTGCCAACCAGCAAATATCTATTTGGAAACTAAATTCTTTACATCTTTTTCCAGTACTTGTTTAGCAGCACTACAATCAATGCGTAACAAGAATTTCTGATTGATTAAATCATCTTGGAATTTATAAATGCATTTAACCAAAGAAAGAATTTCTTTTTTGATGGTTGAATAATTTAGTTGTGCATTTTTCCAAGTTCCTGAAGTGAAGCGAACAAGCTCCTCAGTTCCTGTATTTGGATTCTTTTGCTTAAGAATACCACTATATCCAATATTGGATGCATCTGTTTCCACAATTTTGAACCATGAAGAATTGGCTAGAGCTAAGCAAGGAATTTGTTTTGCTCTGAGTTTAATCTTCTGGACGGCCTTGGTGTGTTCCAAAGTCCATGGGGAAGGAGATTTCCTTAACCTGGTGTACAAAATTGCTGTATCCTGTGCAAGATCTCTGTAGTGATTTCAAACTACCAAGAAATCTCTGAAGTTGAGTTTTATCTTTAATTTCATCTGGAAATTTAGAAGCAAACTCAATACTGCGATCAATAGGTCTAATTTTCCCATCACAAATTTCATGACCAAGAAATCTGACCTTAGTTAAAAACAGTTTTAGTTTAGGAGCAGAAACTACTAAACTACTTCGGTAAATAACATCTTTGAAAATTTTCAAGTGTTTATAATGCTGATCGATTGATTTTGAAAATATGAGAATATCATCAATATAAACAACAGAAAATTCAGTAAAAGGATTAAATATGTCATTCAAAATATGTTGAAATTCTAAAGGGACATTTTTTAATCCAAATGGCATTACTGTCCATTCATATTGTCCAAAAGGTACGCAAAAAGCTGTTTTGTACC